GTGAATGAATCGGGAGGGTCCTGTCCCCAGCTGCTGGCAGAATGAGCCAACACAGCGAGTTGCCCCACTCCCAGCAGGAAGTGAGAGACAGCCAGCCTGGGGTCAAAAAAATCCAGAAGATTTAGATGTTGGAGGCTCACTGATTTCACTGGAAGGCAGATGTGCAAGTACTTTTGAAGATCTGGTAATTTTTCCAAAGCCTTCTAGGAGGTCTGTGGCAGAATAAAGGACTGGGCTTCGGTCTCTTAGTACTTTGGGATGAGAGTGGTCTAATCCTGTCATTGTCAGGGCATCTTTGCTGAGCAATCGACTTTACCCCAAAGGCCTGAAAGCTCAGTAGATTTTTCATGTGCCACAGTCTGTCATAGCAGGTCTCCCACCTCAGGGAATTGCATCCAGGGGCTGGCAGCAAAAGCTTGCAGGGCTTTGCACTACTGCAGAGAAGGTACGTTCTGGTTGAAGTCTGCTGTTAGGACTTTCCAGTGTGGCACAGCTCGGAAGATGGCAGGCCTGTAGAGAAAGGAACAAATCGCTGCACCTTCCTGAGGGCCAAATGTTACACCCGGGGATTCTGTTTTTCTAGCACGAGTGTATGCGCTGGTTTTCCTTTCCGCTGACCTGCCTTGCTTGGCTTCCTTGCAGCTCTCACCAGCCATCGTTAGCGGTTTGCACAACATTGTGAAGAGCATCGAAACCCGCAACTACCAGGAAGGACTGAACATCCACACGCACATAGTCAGCACCAGCAACTTTAGTGAGACCTCTGCTTTCATGCCTGTTTTGAAAGTTGTCCTCACCCAGGCCAATAAGCTGGGTGTCTGAAGTAACCCTGCATTTGCAAAGCCTTGACGGTTGCTTTTCCAAAGAAGTGCATTTCTACAGCGAACGTGCAGGAAACGGACCAAACGCTCGTCCTTATGACATGTTGCGGTAGAGCGCTGACAACTGGCATTACACTCTCCCTGCAAAGTACTTCATTCTAGGAGGGCCGTGGAGCCCTGGTGCTTTTCTTTTTATTTTAATCCTTTTCCATCCCTAATGATTCTTCTCTCCAAATAGTATATTTAATGGATGATGCCCCATATTGTCAATTTTTAGATGCATGTTATACTGCTAAACAGTGGCTTTTAATAACGGATATGTGTTAAACCAACAAGGATAGGTTGTATATCAGACCCTAAAACAGATTATTCCCTTCCACCCCACTGTTCCTTATCCACCAGATTAAAGAGTCTGATCGTATTATAAGTGTTTGGTCTTTCATTTTATGAAGCTGCTTGCAGTTCTGTTATTACAATTTACATGTTAAATAGCTTAATTTTGCACTGGGGCAAACGAGCAAAATAAAGGCTAATGTGATATCTTCAATAAATGTTAATTTATTAAAGCATGTCTTTATGAAGTGCAGCTTGGAGATTTTGAACCCGGAGTACGGTGGGGTGGCTTTCTATTGTGTCCTAGGCATGAGGATATTTTTTTCCTCCGTGCTCATCGCTAAAAGCTCTGTTTATAAACATTTATACTGAGAGATTTACATTTCAAGGAAAGGTTTAGTAAGGATTCTGAACACATCTGTATGTATTTTTAAAAGCTAAGAGCAGAAATAATGCAGAGTGGCTTAAGCCACCCATACAGAGACACGAGTATTTAGTGTGTGAACACGGTGCAAATTGGTTTTTTGCAGCGCCCTGAACCTGGAGATCGTGGCCTCTGCTGCGCTGCTTCCCTCTGCAAGGGCATGCTGCGCCGTGAATCTCCAAGTGAGTTGGGTCAAGTGAGTTTCACAGCACGCTGTCCTTTTCTGTGGGCACAGTTGGAGTTGGCTTTAAGTTTTAAAATTGGAAATGGTGTCCCGTGAGTAGCAAGTATGTCTAGAAGTAACAGCAGTTGGAAGACATGTCCAGGTTAAAAAAAAAAAAAAAAGACAGCTTGAAAATGATCTAAAATGTCGGTGCCTGTGGAATGTAGATTTGGCGACACATACTGCAAGAAATATTACAAATAATAATGCAAATAATTGCTGACTTCCATGACTTAAACTGATTACGAGCTACAGATTTGTCAGGCAAAACAGTTCCGTTCCTCTGACAAAACTGAGCTTAATTTTATTTCCTTTCCAGCATTTTCTGACCTCATAAGCTTTTATAATTGGTGAATATAAAGCAGCAATTTGGAGTTGCTGTGTTTCAGGAGTTTAAAAAAACCAATTGGAGTCATTTTCTTCCCCTTGATCTAGGTTATAGGGTTCTAAGTGGTGTTGTAAGTAGATTGTATTCTGCTTCTGTCACTTGGAAGGCTTGCAGGTATCCTTCTTTAGTCATCTATGCTCTTAATAAAAACTCCTTGCCCAGCAGGCTCTGATATTGGCTGAATCACATCAAAAACATGAAGTGTCTTAATGCTGCCAGAAACTGGCATGAAGGAAATGGCAGTCTGCCTCGGTGGGAAAAACATGCAGGTCACCAGCCCTGCTCCTGATTGTTGGGACTACATTATCTAGTAAATATTTTGCAGCACCTCCCAATGCAGATGTGAATGGTAACAGCTTGGTGTGCACCTTTCTTCCTTTGGGACTGCTTTCTGCATGCTTGGAATAAAATTCTGGGGCCCCGACAACGGGGAAGGCAGGAGGAAAGGGGCTGTGCAGAAGGAGAAATGTTGCCATCTGCAGCAAAAGTAGAATTGGGACAGCTTAGTACTCCAGGATCTCTGCATGTGTGGAAAAGACTGCTATGCCCAACTTCAGTAGCGATGCCTTCCTCAGAGCAAATTAGGCATGGTATGGCCAGAGCAATACACACCCTTGTGTCTTGATTCAAGGTGGGAAAGAACAAACTTTAAAAGAAAGAACACACTCAAAGGTAAACAGGAATAAAAAAAAACAAAAACAACCTCAGTTAGGGTGGAAAGCGTGGTGGTTTTGCAATACCCTGTTCAGCAAGGAAAGGAAAGCAGAAGAGAATCTCGGTACTTGAGGACCAAACTGGCAGATGGGAGGTGCAGCTAGAAGGGGAATTCAGAGCTGGTCTTACATGTGCTCTCAGCAGTTGTTTTTGGGAGTACTGGGCAAGCAGCAGGAGCGGTGCCAAGTGCCATTTGTGAAGGCCCTGCAGATGGTCCATGGTGGGTTTGTGAAGCTGGCTGTTCCTGGCAGTAACCGCTGGGGAGACTGACGGCGGTGGCAGAAGTGGGATGCGCTCCCGGAGGCGCAGCGTGCAGGGTTGTGGGCCAAAACATCACTGTAAACTGGAAGCTCGTAAGCAGGGAATAAGAGGAGAAGGAGGACCTGAGGGGATTAGCTGGGAACAGCTCCTCAGCGTGATGGGGCTTTGTAAAAGCCAAGGAAGGTTTAATGGCATTGCGCAAGCCTTCGTGAGACTTCCATCCATGTGAAAGAGGATGCCAAGTGAGAAGGGACTCGGCGAGGCATGCAGATGTTGAGGACTGAAGGGTTTGTTGAACCTTCCCAGAGACTAAATAACCTTTGCTTCTTCACCTAGCGAAGAGCACCAGGGAATCAGGTTGGCTGGAGCTAAAGAACAGTGTTGGCATGAGAACAAAGGTGGTAGGAGCTGGCCAGGAATAAGCTTGGTCTGGAAATTGAAGTGGTCAAAAATGAGACCACTGGATCAGAGAGAAACCTTGGGGTTTCTCTGAGGCGATAGTATCTTTGGGTACTATTGATGTTGTACCACCGGCCTGGACACTGTATGTCAACAAGAGAGTGGTCTCACTCTCCTCGCTGAGAGGAGAGCTGTCCCCAGGAGTTCAGGACCGGCATACTGCGCTGCCTAAGTACTTAACAGGAGCGGATGCAAAAATCTTCTCTCCTGAGAGCAGCTGAGATGAATAATAATCAGTTATGCTGCCGTCTGTTCATACCTTCAAGGAATGCCAAGCAATTAGCCACCCATCTGATGTTATAAATGCAAATGGCCATCTTCGTTTACAGGAGGCAATGAAGTCCTGCCAATTTATGCTGGTAAAAGAATTTGGCCCCAAACAATTTTCATCTCGCTGAGTGAGAAGAGATTTATACCACGGCATTAACACCAACCAAGCTACTCCTCTTTGCAGTCCTCCAAGGCTGCAGAATTTTAAGAAAAAAAAGGGATAGAAGGAAATTCAAATATGTAATCTGCGACAGTGTGGGTGTTATCCAAGGGGCAAGTGACACGAGGAGGTATCCTCCTACTTCGGCTATCGCCATCCAAGTAAAAGCACCAGTGGGAAAGTTTGTGGGAAAAGGCAGCGTTAATGCAGTTCTCTCCAGCTGCCGAGGCAAATACGTGGGGGTGTCGCAGGGGCAATACTGACCAAGAGAAGTTCTTGAATGAAAACCTTTTTCTGCCTGTAAAGCTCTGTCATGGATTTACCTTGGGTTTGCTGGCACAAGTCCAAGGTCAGCATTAGACATGAATGGTGGAGATTGTCTTTTAATCACGGCAGCATTTCTGGCCTGTGCAATGTTTATATCAGATCTGTTCTGTGTTGTGCCTTTCGGATAACAGAGTTCCCCAACATACAGATTGGGAATGTGGGTTTATTGTTTAGTAACCGTGGTTTCTCCGCCCAGAAGGGAGCATATGCTACACTGACTGGGCTATTGAGAGAGAAGGGAAGGAGGAGGTCTTGTTGCCATAGCTGTTTCCCCCCAAAACTGTGGAGGGGAGGGGGCATGTCTTGGAAAGCATGGCAAAGACAGCATGCAGAGCAGTGGCACTACTCCCCAGAGTCCTGCTGGCTCCCCTCAGCTTCATCCTCACCTTCACCACCATGCTGGTCCTTTGCTTCAGCAGCACAAACCCCACTGTGTCGTTATCCTGGCTGGAGATTCTGTTATGACTAAGAGGGGAAAAAAAGGAGTCCCTGGGTCAGGTATTTCCCTTCCTTGTCTCCCCCCACCATATCTGCAATCCCATGTGACTCCGCACACATAAGGGTTCACTGTTGTGAGCCACGTTAAGCAACCATTGGGCAGCATATATAGAATCATAGAATTGTTTAGGTTGGAAAGGACCTGTAAGATCATTGAGTCCAACCACTAACCCAGCACTGCCAAACCCACAACTAAACTATGTCCCTAAGCACCACGTCTACACATCTTTTAAATGCCTCCAGGGATGGGGACTCCACCACTTCCCTGGGCAGCCTGTTCCAGTGCCTGACAATCCTTTCAGTGAAGAAATTCTTCCTAATACCCAATCTAAACCTCCACTGACACAACTTGAGCCATTTCCTCTCGTCCTATTGCTAGTTACTTGGGAGAAGAGACCAACCCCCACCTGGCTACACCCTCCTTTCAGGCAGTTGTAGAGATCAATCAGGTCTCCCCTCAGCTGCCTCTTCTCCAGGCTAAAATAGAGGCAGGCATGGCTCAAAGCTAACAGGAAAAACAGGCATATATGGGCAAATGTTGGCCCCCGACTGATTCTGCCTCCCCTGCAGAGGATGCTGAGCATCCCGTTCGGCTGCCTTGTGCTGAGCTGAGTTGCTCAGCCTTGAACAAGAGCCAAGGCCGCTGTCAGAGTATACCAAGTAGCATAATAAGTAACATACTGATACCAGGAACAGTTTCAACATGTCCAATCTTAAGCGGGGAAGCTCAGGGTAATCTCCCAGCCTTGACTCGCTATATCCTGAGTTGTTCATTCCCATATTTCCTCTGCTGGTCCTGCAGATCAGACAGATACATCACCAAACGGCCACTCGGGATGTACAGATATATTTAATGCAACTCTCACTCAAAAGAAGCTAAACCGATTAAAATTCCTACAAACTTTAGAGCTGCAAGTTAGCCAGAAGAGATTCTAATTAGGAGAGGGTTTATTAAAGAGCATCCTAAAAGGGCAACTGCAGCTGACCTCACCGGAAAGTCTGTGCCTGCCTGGACAGCACAAGGGGGACTTCTTGGGAACCTGTTGCTCAACTCCTTTGCCAGGTACACGAGAAGCACTTCAATACACAAACACTGAGCATGTATTTCTTGTCCCTCTGATGGTTTTGGCTATTTTCCCTTCTTTACCACTTAAGGCGTTCATTTGAACAATGCTTTAAGGTCACGACTTCTTTTTTTATTGTAAGGAACAAAAAAAAAAGGCCACTCTTGTCAACATTTTAAATAGCTCTGCACTGAAGGGTGATGGCAGCGGGCAGCAGTAGCATTAAAAGGATACTCACTGTGTTCTCATGAACTGTTCGCTACCTGGCATCATTGCTGTCCTCTTTCTTTCTTCCAGGTGGAGAATTCTAGAAGGATGTTTAAAATATATCAAAAACAATCTTGGGTTTAATTATATACTCTCTGCTGATCCACTTGCCTCAGGAGGTGTAGTTAGCAATTAATTAGCACAGCAGACTAATGTGCTTTGTACCAATACCACTCAT